CTGACTTGGAAAATATGGTTAGTTTCCAGAATTTAAAACGTGCTCTATGATCTGAGTAGGAAAACCCAGAGAAAGTTCTAAAAGTTATTCTTATACACAGAAAAGAACAGTCTTTGCTAAATGTTTAACAAGCTTATATGGTTTGATGTGAAGTATTTAATCCCACATAATTCACTCATGGTGACATGGTTTGTCCCTGGAGAAAGAAATGGCAACCCACTCCAGTATTCTTTCCTGGGAAACCCCATGGACAGAGGAGCCTGGTGGGCTATAGTCCATGTAACTGCAAACAGTCGGACACAACTGAAGTGACTTAGCACACAGACATGGTCTTCAACTGAACCTCAGCAGTCTAAAGCACTGAGGAAAGTGAAATCTGAATTAAAGGCTGATTACCAGCTTGATCTCGTTAAGCCCTCGGATGTGAAGCAGACTACACAGTGAACAAAACTGATGGCAAAAACTCGATGAAACCATGTGAAACTGGGGTAAGAGGTGGGAGATCTTGTCTCTTATCCAGATTTAATAAAACATTTGTGTCCTTTATGGAAAATTACTGATTTCTTTGCACAGCCTTTTCTCATGTAAGTTTGGGCTGATGCAGAAAGGTGAGTTATCTTTGGCTCCAACATATCACATCTTGGTATGTGTCTTCAGGCTCTAAAGGTCAGGGTTGGGGATGGACTAAAGTCCTAGAGACCTTTTTCGAGGCTGATATAAGCAACACCCACTACTTCGTGGTGTCTCGTTGGCTGGGGGAAGATCTGAATAACCACTTCTGAACCGACACAGAATCACACTCTACTCACCAGCTCTGTAAAGTAACCAGTTAGGTCACAGGCAACAGAACAAATGTCACTATGCCAACTCTGGTTCTAAATTCATGGTGTCTCCTAGTAGGGTATTACTTGTGCACTCTTTTCCCCGCTAAGCTTTGTAGAACTTCAATTAAGGCTGAAATGTTAGATCAAACTTGGTCCTATCTTACTCGGGACATCCTCTGAGCTCCTCAGGACATCCCAGACCCAGGACCGGCTACTTCCTGGGTCCACATCTTCAGGTCCCACTGCTCAGCACCTCCCTTGCCTGGGTCCCCACCGTGGGCCCTTCCAGTGGACCTCATGAGCGATGCTGGATTACTCCTCCTCTGGGAACCTCACCCTCAGGTGCATGATGGGAAATTCCAACTCTTGACCCTCATGTTGGAGGGCCTCTCCAAAGGCCTCCATCCTCCATCCTAGTTAGGCTGCCTCCAAACACCCCTTCTTCCATTGGCAGGGGTCTGATCACCACCCTTCAGCACCACCTGCCTTTTCTTCTGGTTTAATTTTCCAACTCTTCTTCCCACTGAATCCTCCAGGTCCAGGTTGAGTCATTGCCCCCTCTGTATGAGTGGTGATCTTGCTTTCCTCTAATGAAGGATGCACTGGCTCCATTTTTCCATTCAGCAAACTTCTATCAAAGACCTACAAAGCGCCAAGCACTGTTCTAGCCACAAAGTCCAAACTCCCCAACTGGCATTTCATCACACAGCTGCTGTAGGAAATTGTAATAAATGGTTAACACTGATCAACAACATATCGTGTGTGCTCAGTTGCTCAGCTGTCCCCTGCGTTTCATGATCCTTTGGTCTGTAGCCCACCAGGCTTCTCTGTCCATGGAATTTTCCAGGCCAGGATACTGGAGTGGGTTGCCATTTCCTTCTCCAGGGGATCTTCCCAACCCAGAGATCGAACTCAAGTCTCCTGTATCTCCTGCATTGCAGGTGGATTCTTTACCCACTAGGCTTCGAGGAAGACCTTTATCACACAGTCGCTGTAATAATTTATAATAATTTGTTAACATTGATCAACAACGTACTGCTCCAGGAAATGGGTTAAGTACTTGCTGACATGTCCTATTTCCTATTCCCAGTAACCCCCTGAAGTGGGGACTGGTACCCTCAATTTCTCATATGAAGCAGTGAGGCACGAAAAATTGGATGACTTCCCTGGCCAGGATTCAAAGTCTGCTCTCTGGCTCCAGACCACCCGTCATCTCCTGCACGGCTTCATTCTCACCACGTGGCCATCACGGCCTCTGCCATGATTCATTCCCATTTTCAGTTTTCACCTGTGTGTATCCTGTGTCCTCAACTTAGGTCCCAGACGTCTCACTGAGCATCACAGCACAGCTTCTAGGGCAACCGTCTTCACCCATCATGGTGAGATTTTTGCCGGAATTCGAGGTTGGAGTCATGGTAATAAGCACGTGCCCTGGACTGGTCCTGTTTTCTAGCATGCACAGAAAACACACGAAAAGCATCCCGCACCTCAATTTTACACGCAGTCCCCACCTCCCCTGAAACTCGACTTCAGTATTATTGAACGGAAGTTCTTCAGTATTATTATTGCAGTAGAATCTGTGACATATTTCCCATGAGGTGTTCATTCGGTCTTCTTAAAGAAATAGGGGAAAGTCTCCAGAAGCCTGGGAATTTTGGGAGGGGCTGGAAGCCGCACCCCTCAACTCGGAAGGTCAGCCCGGAGGACTGAGTCTGCGGCTGTCTGGACGCACCTCACCGCGTCTCCCGAGTCTGCAAGGCTCAAACACGCTCAATGGTTCTTCCCACTCTGCCCCGGTCGCTCTTGAAGGAAACCTTTTCCGTGTGTTTGCTCAGTCACTTTTTATTTTTAAGAGGAAAACGTGGCCACAGTGCAATCCTGTTCCAGGGCTGTGGGTTTTCTGACCTCTCCTAACTGTGAAATGGCTGAGCAACCTCTCTCCTGGCCGCTCCGAGGTGACATTTTAAATCCAGCATCAGGAGGAATTATGAACGGAAACAAGGGAGACTTGAAAAGTAAAGAATCTGGTTTTGGGGGGGGTTTTTTGAGCTTGCTGCTGAGCTAGCGTTTTGGCTTTTATTGGAACTTTCTAACCAAACTTCATACACTAGGCTTGACTCCCTGGCATGTCTGTGACTCCGAGCCTTTATCTTCTCCATTCTTACAGAAGTGCTTTTAAGTGAAAGTCACTCAGTCGTCTCCGACTCTTTGTGACCCCATGGACTATACAGTCCATGGAATTCTCCAGGCCAGAATACTGGAGTGGGTAGCCTTTCCCTTCTCCAGCAGATCTTCCCACAGAGGTCGAACCCAGGTCTCCGCATTGCAGGCAGATTCTTTACCAGCTGAGCTATCAGGGAAGCTATCAGGGAAGTGCTTTAAAACCATTTACTTAATAGCACTTCCTACTTACAGCTTAAAACATTCAAGGATAAAATATTAATTTCTAAAATACTCCTTCAAGAGGTAAGAGAGGGAAATGTGGCTGTTAGCAGTTTATCACTTTTTAAAATTGTGGGCTCAGTCACTCAGACCTGTCTGACTCTTTGCGACCCCATGGACTGTAGCCCATCAGACTCCTCTGTCCAGAGGACTCTCCAGGCAAGAATGCTGGAGTGGGTTGCCTTTCCCTCCTCCAGGGGATCGTCCTGACCTGGGATCGAACCCGAGTTTCCTGCCTTGTAGCAGATCCTTTCCCACTGTGCCTTTTAAAAATTAGTGCACTTTTTTCTTTGAGCAGTCTGAGGTTTGGGCTTCCCCGCTGGCTCAGACGGTAAAGCGTCTGTCTGCAGGGCAGGAGACCTGGGTTTGATCCCTGGGCTGGGAAGATCCCCTGGAGAAGGAGATGGCAACCCACTCCAGTACCCTTGCCTGGAAAATCCCATGGACAGAGGAGCCGATAGGCTACAGTCCATGGGGTCGCAAGGAGTCGGACACGACTGAGTGACGTCACTACTACTACTTCAGTATAGTCTAAGGGTTACAGAAAATTGAGCAGAAAGCAGAGAGAGTTCCCATGATCCCCTCCTGCCCCAGACTCTGGTTCCCTATCACTGACACTTGGCATTGACATAGTGGATGTGTTACAACTGATGAAATAATATTAACCCATTATTATTAACTTCAGTCCACAGTTTACCTTGGGTGGTCACTCCTAACGTAGCACATTCTATGGGTTTTGTCAAATACATGTATCCTGTATTCACCATTATAGCATCACATATCATGGTTTTACTGCCTTCAAAACCCTATGCTCCCTCTGTTCACACCTCCCTCCCTCTTTTTGAAAGATCTTATTTATTTATTTAATTTTCTTTTACTTTTGGCTGTGCTGGGTCTTTGTTGCTATGTATGGGCTTTTCTTTAGCCACAGCAAGCAGGGACTCCTCTCTAGTCATGGCGCTTGGCCTTATTGCAGTGGCTTCTCCTGTCATGGAGCATGGCTCAGTAACTGTAGCACACTGGCTTAGCTGCTCCACAGCACACGGGATCTTCCTGGACCAGGGATTGAACCCGTGTCTCCTGCATTGGCAGGCACATTCTTAACCCCTAGGTAAGCCCCCTCCCTCCTTCTTAACCCAAGGCAACCACTGATTTTTGTGCTGGCCTTCCCAGTTCTGCCTGTTTCACACGTCCTATGGTTGATGCCATACAGTAGGCAGTCTTTCCAGACTGACTTCTCTCACTTACGAATATGCATGTAAGTTTCCTCCACATCTTTTCCTGATTTGATGGCTCATTTACTTTTAGAGACGAATAAGATTTCATTGTCTGGATAAGCCACAGTTTATCCATCCACTTGCCTACTGAAGGACATCTGGGTTTCTTCCATTGCGTTTTGGCCACTAGGAATAAAACCACTAAAAACACGCATATGAGGGTTTTGTACGGAGAGAGGGAAATTTTGAGTTAAATTTTACAGGATAAAACTATTACTGTCGACATCACTTCTGACATTACTACTGTCGCAATTACTGATGTTAGCAAGATTACGTTACCAAACCCAGAGGTAAAAGCAGTGCTGATGTGACCACAGAGGTGCTAGGTTTGTGGTGCTAGGTTGAGGCCCTCGGCCCCTAAGGAAGGAGAAAAGCCACTGTGTGTTGGGCAGGAAAACACTTGAGCCACAGAAAGCCCAGCTCCAGAGGCTGCAGCACGGGACTTGGCTTCTCTGAGGCGAGAGGAGCAGAAGGACACGGAGGCCAGTGTGGCCCTCACACCCCCGACTTCCCTTCTCTCCACCGTCAGAGTGGACGCCACCTCCAGCATCGTCTTCCTGCCTCTCATAGCTGCCACGTGTGTGTGTCCGTGGGTGGGTGGCCTCGCTGCCACGTGTGTGTGTCCGTGGGTGGGTGGCCTCGCTGCCACGTGTGTGTGTCCGTGGGTGGGTGGCCTCGAGCCAGGAGAGCCGTAGGGGCGGCAGCGTGGCCTCCACAGGGAAGCATGAGGTTTCCCTGTCACTTCTGCGCGAGCTGCTTCGGTTTGTGTCTCGCGGGCCACGCAGTGTCCCACAGCCACCTCTGCACCCCAGGGAGGCTCCGAGGCCAGCAGCTGCTCTTCACAGTGCTGTGAGGGACGAGACCACGGGGAAGGGCATTGGGAACGGTTGTCAGATTGGCTAAACCCTCAGATGGATAAACAGCCACAACAATGACAGACTCAACATCACTGCAGCTGGGCTTGGTCTGAACACCCTGCAGCCTGCGAGGGTCTCCCTGGTACTCTTGGGAAGACCTGGTTGGACAGAGATGCTCAGATGGGCTGGCGTGTTCTGCGAGGTCTCCCAGGTGCCATCACAGTCCTGTTATCCATCTCAGCTCAACAACATGCTCACTGAACATGCCCAGGCAAACCAGCTTCCTGCTTGACTGGTGGTCTGGCATGTATAAGACCCAAGTCTCCCCACCTGCCGATGTTGAAGGTCAGGCTCTGAATGGAGGGTTGGAAGCAGAGAGAGCATAGCAGAGGCAGAAGGTTCATTGTCATGGCACTCCCCATCTGTTTTCCACTTCCGTGGCTTCGATTTAAAAGGTCTCATTATCTCTCACTGGGGCTTCCCAAGTGGCACTGGTGGTAAAGAACCCGCTTGCCAATGCAGGAGGTGTCAGAGACATGGCTTTGATCCCAGGGTGGGGAAGATCCCCTGGAGGAGGGCATGGCAACCCACTCCAGTATTCTTGTCTGGAGAATCCCCATGAACAGAGGAGCCTAGTGGGCTACAGTCCATGGGGTCACAAAGAGTTGGACAGGACTGAGCGACTCAGCACGTACGCATGCACGTCTCTCACTTACATCTTGGCGATGACTTCAGAACTGTCTCCCTCTGCTGGTCCCCTCACATCCAATCCATTTCCCCCAGCATTCTGAGCCGAGCCTCCGGAAGCTCAGGTGCTCACACGCCTGTCATGCCTGCCCGCCTCCTGCCACGTGCAGCCCTGACGCCCTTGCCTGTCATCCCGCAGCTCCATATCCGGCTCTATCTCTCCATTCCCAATCTGGCTCTGCCCCTGCCTCTGAGCCTCTGCTCGTTCCCGCTGTTCCCTCTGCCTGGACAGTCTTCTTCTTCTCATAAAAATCCGGGATTTCAATGCACAAAGCATAGAAAAGTGTATATGTATTTAAAAATATTGACATTAAAAAAAGTACACAAAACCAAAGAATTTAAAGAATCTATGTCCTTAAGAGAATTCTATAACCTGGTAAAATAATAACCTGTAACGCAAACAAGACAACATAACAAATAAAAATGGGAGGAACGGAGCAGAGCAGCAAATAAAAAATGCCGATTCCTGCAGCCATATGTTGATAGGTTACGGTACATGACAACATATACTGAATTCACATGAAAAATTTTGATGTTACACAGGGAAGTACAAACAGTTAATACTTTCTTGTTATAATTTGTGAACATATTCCTTAATCTTTTGAACCTCAACTGTCACATCTGTAAAATGGACATATTAATAAACTGTACAGAAGATAGGGAGAGAGACTGAAAAACTGTTAGGGGTCTTTTCAACATTAAAATGTCCAATACTATTAGCTATTTAAAAGCAAAAAAGTCTCAAAAATGATTACATAATTTCATAACAGCAGTCTCTTCTTTTTGCCAGTCTCTCTTTAACTCATGTAAGCACAGGACAAATACATATGCAAGGCTAGACTCTGGAGGGGGCCATCCTGCATTATCAGGAGAAACACCTAAGTTGTTGCTCTTTCTCCACATTTTTAGGAGTTGAAGAGAAGGACTCAATACCCCTGGCAATTTCTCTCCCTCTCACTTAATCCTTTTCTAAAATCTCTGTTCAAGTGACTCAACTCTGTGGTTTCTTGTGGTTTAATTCTTTGAAGTGGTTCTGCCCAGCTCCAAATTTTACTAGTGTCACTAGAAATCTATCCAGAATGATGAAAGTTGCACAAGAAAAGCAATACTTGTGAAATTTCAGCATATTTAGGATCGCAACTCCTAAGATAGTCACTTGTAGGATCTTTCTTGCATCTGGTGAGCAAAGTAACTAATGCTTCATCCACGTGGCAGGAACATTTTAACACTCTCTATTTAAACTGTGGCCCAGTCCGCCAGATTCTACCTCTTCCCATGGTTCTCACTTAATTACAAAAACATAACTACTCAAACAGGAAGGAGTGGACTATAGGATTTTCTCTGTCCACTGGGCACTCGAGCAGGCATGTCTGCTGTGGTTCAGAATTCAACCAGGTCATGGAATCAAAGGGGGAGTGGGGTCTTAAGAGTCTGCTATATACACAGGGTGGTGTGCTCTCAAATATATCTTTTCCTAAAGAGTGGTGAGCTGCATAAGTCCACCCTCGTGGAGCATCTGATGGAGTGACAGGCAGCCTGGAGGTTGACGATAGGTCACCACCAGCCATACGCAGCAGGGCCAGGAGCCAGGCCAACAGCTACCCAGCCTTCCTTCCTGGAGGGGTGGGTGCAAGTCTCTCAGTCACGTCTACGTTCTACGTCTTTGCAACCCCGTGGACTGTAGCCCACCTGACTTCCCTCTCCTTCACCATCTCCCAGCATTTGCTCAGACTCATGTCCATTGAGTCAGTGATGCCATCCAACCATCCCATCCTCTGCCACTCTCTTCTCCTCCTACCCTCAATCTTTCCCAGCATCGGGGTCTTTTCCAATGAATCAGCTCTTCACATCAGGTGGCCAAAGTATTAGAGCTTCAGCATCAGTCCTTCCAATGAATATTCGGGATGGATTTCCTTTAGGAAACCAGCCAATCTTAAAGGAAATTAGACGCTTTGGAAAGAGACAAACATGTTCAGAGACGAATAATAATACAAAAGCAGCAACCATCTTGAAAATAGATGTGTTCTATCTTGGTTTGAGGGAGTCCAAATTTGGCGCATGCCACCTGGAGACTCTGCAGTGCTCAGGGCTGGGGGGTGGGCAGCCGAGGCCAAGGGGTGAGGGTCCCGCAGTGTTCACGCCTGACTCTGCACCTGGCAGCCCAGCGCCAGCCTCAGGGCAGCTCATCAGAAAAGCATGAAGCTGGTATTTCTGATCCTTCCCAGATCAGAACTCACACAGAGAGCTTCTCACTTGCAAGAGAAGCAAAAAGGAGGACTCGCTGGTTTAGTGAATGGAGACTGGGAGCCTCCAGGACCTTCAAGAAGAGATCTCCCGGCATCCTCGTCCCTCCGCCTCTCGTCACCAAGGACAGAAGGGGCGCCCGGAACAGGGGGCTGGACGTGTGTGTGCGCAGGAGCAAAGGACAAAGCGGCCCAGGATGAACGGGAAAGGCCAAGGAACGCCTGTTCCACAGAAAGAAGTAATTACAAAGATCGGCTCCGGGCTTCCCAGGTGGCGCTAGTGGTAAAGAATCCACCTGCCGATGCAGGAGATGCAGGAGATACTGGTTCAATCCCTGAGTCGGGAAGATCCCCTGAAGGAGGGCATGGTAACCCACTCTAGTATTCTTGCCTGGAGAATCCCAAGGACACAGGAGCCTGGTGGACTACAGTCCATAGGGTCGCAAAGAGTCAGACACAACTGAGCACACACACACACACCCCTCCAGAGACCTGTGATTGAAAAAGAGTTTCATCTCCCAACATGTATAAGGAGCGGTTTGTTTCCTGATGCTTCTCTCATCACTTTTTCTAGAGAAACGAGAGGCGACAGCATCCATGGGTGGACGAAAGGAAAAGCTGGAAACACAGCCTCTGGGGCCCGTGGACCAGGGCTATGTGCAGAGCGGTGACAGGTCACAGTTGCTTCTGAAGGCAGCACAGAGCTCCAGGCTCAGCTCCTCGCCCGGGGCTGTTCCTGGCAGGATCGCCCAGTGAGAACCGAGGGAAAAGTCTGCAATATGCTCAGTGGGGTGGGGAGCCAAGGTGAGGAGATTCATAAAAAATGTGCCTCCGGCTGATGGTTTCCATACTTCGGGGCAAGAAACAGTCTTCTCCAGAGCAGGGTGGGGTGGGGAAGGGAAGGGGGGAGGGAGGGGGCCTGGGGCCCGTCCCAGGGTTCAGGGCTCTCCCTCCATCTCTCACGATCCTGGGAAGGCATATGAAAAAGCACAGTGCTTTGCCATAAAAATATCATGAGCCCTTTATCCACTGCCCTCCCTATGAGCAATATTATGTAGCATCCTATGTGGATCAGACCAAAGAAACACGATGATTTATGTCTAGCTTCTGCATTCACATTGAGACACTGGCTATCTTTGCACGCTTTGTGGCAATCAGCCTAGAAAGTTGACTCCCTGGGTGTTATTTCATCCAGATCCTGTTTTTTTGAGAGAAGAAGACAAAGAGGGTCACGAAAGCCGTAGGAGGGCTCCCTGAAAGTTCCTGTGCTGCTCCGGGGGCCCCGGGCTGGGGCCGGCACATCCCCTTCCCCCCACCGTCTCCCCCCGCAGGAGCCGGCCTCCTGGAGGACAGGCTGGGCCCAGGGCTGGATCACCGAGCAGACAGCCAGAATCAGCGTCCCTGAGAGCTCAGCGGCCGGTGTTCCCGCAAGGCAGCCTGGCCCCTGCAATCGGCGAGGGCACCTGGCCTCGAGGTCATGGCTCCTACCTCCCCGCTCCACTCCCCAGTGGTCAGCCAGCACGTCCGAAAGGAAGGAACAGTCTAGAAGGAATCACAGCCCTGAGACGAGGGAGCGGCAACGAGCCCAACACACGGGGCAGAGTTAGCACCTCCCAACGTGAAAACCCAGCTGCTCTGTGAGTAGGGACACTGCGCTTTAGAGGGCAAGGGCTGCCCGTGGAAAACCACAGAAGGGGTCATCAAACGAGGACAGGTGAGAGAACCAAAAGTCCAGGAAAGCCACGGGGAAGGAAAGTAGAAGTCTTTAAAAAAAGTGAATAAAGGCTGAAGAACATACAAAGTTCACGTCAATGTGGCGAGAATGACGGCAAAGTCGCTCTCCCAGGACACACAGCAAGTTTCCAAAGAACACACCATAAAGAAACGGAAAACATAAATACAGGTGAGGGTGAGGAGGACCCGCAGGAGTTCCAAGAGGCGTGAACCGAGACGGGGAGAGACGCAGCATCCAGACAGAGAGCAAGGCATTGTCCTGAGCTGAGAGAGACAAGCCCCCTCATGGAAAGGTCGTTTTCCACCCAACACCATGCAGGACAAAATGTTAAGCCCACCCGGAGACATGCCGTCACTCACTTTCAGAACATTAAGGACCAAGAGAAGCTGGTTGGCAAGAAAGGGGAGGTGGGGAGCGGCTGGAAATCCATCGAAGCTGCTCAGAACCAGGCAGCGATCCGGCAGAGCGGTTCGTGGGGTGGGGTGGGGGCGGCCAGTCGACGAGGAGGAAAGGAAGATCCAGGAGAGGGGTAACCAGGGGCCCTGGGTTCCCGGGAAGGCAGAGGTGTGTGCAGACGGCGGTGGAGCCTCGAGAGCAGGGAGAAGGGGGACGCGGAGAGGAGACAGGCTCAGTGTCTTCACTGTTCAGTTCAGTTCAGCAGCTCAGTCGTGTCCAACTCTGCGGCCCCATGGACTGCAGCACACCAGGCCTCCCTGTCCATCACCAACTCCTGAAGTCCACCCAAACCCATGTCCACTGAGTCGGTGATGCCATCCCACCATCTCATCCTCTGCCATCCCCTTCTCCTCCTGCCTTCAGTCTTTGTCAGCATTAGGGTCTTTTCCAATGAGTCAGCTCTTCACAACAGGTGGCCAAACTACTGGAGTTTCCTTCAACACCAGTCCCTCCAATGAACACCCAGGGCTAATCTCCTTTAGGATGGACTGGCTGGCTCTCCTTCACTATTACCTGTATGGATTCGGGTCCACAAGACCAGAAAGGTGCCCACCCAGTCACTGAGGGTCAACACCAGGACCACACTCCCGGCATGCACAAAACCCACCTGTGGGCGGCCAGGCCTTCATACATGCAGAAGACACACACATGTGCCCAGAGAACCAGCTGTCCACTGTGCCCACAGGGATGCTGGGTCTGCCCACTGAACCCGAGCCTTTCGTGAGTTGAAATAAAACAAGCACGTAGGCACACACATACACACACACAGACGACTGAGCTGCAACTACTGTTGTAGCTACCTGATCTTAGAAACACAGCAATGTGCCAGGAGGAGACAGTCTTCAGATGCTGGCAGGAATGCAACCAAGCTTTCCACCCTTGAAATGAAACTTCTGAAGTAATTAATCAAGATTTATGTGGCTTCTCCTCCGGCCCCCTCTCAAATACGCACGCACGCACACACACACACACACACACACACACACACTCACACACACAAGGAAAGAGGGAACGTATTCTTAATACTAACTCAGGGCAGCTCAGACTCTCTAGCCATAAAGTAAATCTGTCTCATTTACTCAGACCTTGCATGTGAAAAGTGCTTCACAGCTTTCAAACACATCCCCAGACCTCCTCTCCAGCGTGGACTGTCCTGTTCTCAGGGAGGATGAGTTGGTGCTTTTTTAAAAACAAAAAATAGCAAGAGCCAAAGATTCCGGGATCAAAGCCTGGCTCTCCTTCCTTCTTGCGGCTTGACCTCTCCCAAGAGATTTCCCATCTCTGGTCCTAATTTCCAAGTTTAAAAGGGGGAGGATTAAAAGCAACCACAGGGACTGTGGCGAAAGTCTTAGCGGAAGTTTCTGGCGTGAAAATGGACAAGTGGTTTTCCCAGGAAGGAAAGAGCCCCGGGAGCGTCAGGGACGGAGCGGGAGCCCTGGGTGACCGGTGACCGTGCCCGGACAGATGTGCGCCTCGGCCGGCCGGCGGGCACCCCATCCCCACCTCGCCTCTGCGCTTGCCTCGCGGCCTGGACGTCCCTCCCCCTCACCTCCTCACTGGCCCAGCCCGCCTCCGCGGCCACCGGCGGCCACCGGGCCCATGGGAAGGGCCCCCCACCCTCTGCGCTCTCAGCGGGGGCCCTGCAGGCACCCGGTGCCGCGTTTAACTCTGATCTGAGCCCCTGGGGGGCAGCAGGTCACCGAGCCAGAAGGGCAGGCAAGGTGTCGGCCACACCGTAGTCCCCTGGTTTCCCGGCAGGTGGAAACCCAGGCATCCCAAGGCGGTGACCTCCGAGAAATCCACGGGTAAAGCTGCCCGTTCCTTTCTCTCCGGTATCTCCAAGCAGTGCTTCATTTCGTCTATGACCCTCCCCGGAAGCGGAAGTCACCTCCTCGTTAACCAGCCTGCAGCCGCGGGGAGCGGTCCGCCCTCGTTCGCCCACAGTCACGCCCGTGCCCCCGTCCTCCCAAAGAATCAGGGTCCCTCGGGCCGGGGCAAGACCAGAGACGGCACCCCACTCTAGAGAGGCGGGAAATCCAGGAACGCGCAGCTGAGCGGCTGCACCCTCTTCTCGTGGGCCATACTTCCCTACACGCGCCACTTTTACGCCTATTCTTTTTTTTTTTTAATCACTACCAGTTTACCACTTTCCCTTTTTAAAAGGTAGAGGAAGTCTGGGCATAAAATCCCTGAAATATTCTTAATTTTAAAACATGTCCAAGCGATTCCACTTGAGTGACGCTAGTGCAACTCACCATAGACGATTTGTGAATCCTCTCTCATCACCATCAGGAATGCACAGAGACGGCTTTGCTTCACAGCAGAAAAATAACAACATTGTGGGGCGGCTATACGCCAATACAATGAAAAGGAATAACAGAAAAACCGAGACAGAGAAAGACACACCCTGTAAACACAGCCATCTGCCTAGAAAAGTGACTGGGAGGAAATACATTCACATTCGAGTTCTAATATTATCTCTGGGGGCTAGGAAAGCAGGTGATTTTAATTTTCTTCTTCCTTTTTTTTTCTGTTTTGTTTAAAATTTCTGTTAAGACTGAGAATGGTGCTTTTTTCGATTTGCCTTAAAACTTTAACAACGCAGGTAATGTGAATATGCAATTAAAGACACGTGATAACGCTGAATGCGGAAAGCACTGGCAACTACAGAAGAGTTTTTTAAGTCTTGGTCCCTGTCACCGGGGGCTTCTCTGGGGATGATGGTGGTAAACAGCCTGCCGGTCAATGCAGGAGACTTCGAGAGACCCGGGTTCGATCCCTGGGTTGGGAAGATCGCTTGGAGGAAGAAAGAGCAACCCACTCCAGTATTCTTGCCTGGAGGATCCATGGACAGAGCAGCCTGTGGGCTACAGTCCACGGGGTCGCAGAGAGTCGGACACGACTGAAGGGGCTTAACACGCAAGCACGCACACCCTATCACCGAGCAGGGCTCAGACTTGAAGGGACGGCCACAGAAGCAAGGAATGACTAGGTGGGTGTGTGGATGCGGTAACCGCAACAATATTTCTTCAACCAGTATTCTGTTCTGAGCGCACAGATGTACTCAGGCCATCATTCGAAGAGAGATCAGGTGCAGTGATGACCGCGAAAGAAGAAAGGCCCTCTGCTTGAGGAAACCAAGGAAGGCTTCTCAAAGGAGCAGACACCGCCGTGGTTGCTACGGAGAGACGTCACCACGCAGAGGAGCCGGAGAGACGTCACCACGCAGAGGAGCCGGAGAGACGTCACCACGCAGAGGAGCCGGAGAGACGTCACCACGCAGAGGAGCCGGAGAGACGTCACCACGCAGAGGAGCCGGAGAGACGTCACCACGCAGAGGAGCCGGAAAGCGCAGAGAAGCGCGGCGCTAGGGCGGGTAAGTCTGCTCGGGCAGGGTGTGAGCTTATTTCGGTTTGGCAACCAAGTTCACCTGCATCATTTATATATTTAAAATTACTTCTGCATGTACTTTTGGCTGTGCTGGTCTTTGCTGCTGCACGGACTCTGCTCCAGTTGTGGCGAGCGGGGGCTCTTCTCCAGCCCAGTGCTTGGAGAGTTTCCTTGCTGCGGAGCAGGACTCCAGGCACCTGGGCCTCAGCTGGGGTGTGTAGGCTCAGCAGTTGTGGCGCCCAGGCTTAGCTGCTCTGCGGCGTGTGTGTGGCATCTCCCAGTGTCTCCTGCATCGGCAGGTGGATTCTTTACCACCGAGCCACCAGGGAAACCCTGTATCATCTTTTTGATTTCACATATATGGCATACCATATGATATTTGTCTTTCTCTTTTTATTTTTTCCGGTTTTTATTGGAGTATAGATGATTTATAGTGTCGTGTTGGTTTCTGCTGTAGGGCAAAGTGAATCAGCTGCACATACCCGTATACCCACTCTTCTTTAGATTCTTTTCCCTTCAGGCCAGTACAGACTTTTGAGTCCAGTTCCCTGTGCTACAGTAGCAGGTCCTTGTCCGTTATCTATTTTATATATAGTCAGTGTGTATATGGCAAACCCAATCTCCCAATTTATCTCCCCTATTTTCCCCTCTGTAACCATAAATATTTTACAACTGTAACTCTACTTCTGTTTTGTAAATCAGCTCATTTGTAGCATTTTTTAAAATTCCATACATTAGAGATGTCACATGAAATTTATCTTTCCGTGTCTGATTTACTTCACTTGATATGATAACCTCTCGGTCCGTCCACTTGCCGCAAATGGCATTATTTCATTCCTTTTATGGCTGAGTAATATTCCATTGTGTATATATTTTCTTTATTCACCTGTTAATGAGTCTAAACGTTTGATACAGGAGTGTGATGTGATCAGGTTTGCATTTAAGAAGGATCACTCTGATGAAATTTACCAGTCTCTACCCAGAAGCCTGTAAGTTCTATGATAAGTGGGAAAATCAAAGAAGTGTTCCCAGAAAGTCTTTATTGTTGCTAAAGCTTAAAGACATCCTGGAAGGGTTAAGCAGTAAAATCAGATGAGAAGAAAGGAGGTATAAAATTTGGAAAGGGGACATAAAATTATCATTATTTGTAACTAACTGGACTAGAAGGTTAGATAGCATCACTGACTCAAAGGACATGAGTCTGAACAAACTCTGGGAGTTAGTGGAGGACAGAGGAGCCTAGCGTGCTGCAGTCCATGAGGTCACAAAGAGTCAGATGTGACTTAGCAACTAATCAGTAACAACCTGACATACTTGGGAAAACGATCTGAAGGACAAATATAAATGACCTAAGGTGATTCTTACATAAGGTGGGCGAGTAAAAGTCAGCACTGAAATCTCTCTGCCCCTCCTCTTCCTCTTCCACCTCCTCTTCCCATTCCGTTCCTGAGCAGTTCAGTCCCACAGCTGTGAGCTGGGGGTGGACAAGACAGGCTGCATAGCCAAGGCCAACCGTGGAGGAAGCTATGACGCTGAGATCTGGGGGTCAGAGCCTGGATGGGGGAGGAGAGCGTCCACACAAGGGAGTGGGTCACAGCACTTATCGAGCATGGCTACATGGAGAAAAACTGATCAAACAACAATAGGTGTAAATGTAGATAGGCTCCTCACTATGGGAGAAGAGAGTTACAAATATGGAAAAGCCGCAGACTTAAAATGAACCTTGTGATGCTGGATTGGAATGAAAATGTTAGCGTGACCTCCACATTTAGGATATATAGAAATAAAGAAAAGATCCAGATGTGGATGTGTTTGTATGTGTGAGCATCTTGGTCACTCTACACAGATACAGACATCAAGATTGAGGTAGAGATAGACATGTCAAAAAATACAGAAGCCACCTCAGAGGGGCTCCCCCCAGGCACACCTGGGACTCTGAGCTTTGAAATAAACAGTAGCAGTGAGGTATGGTAACCCACTGAATAAAACAGGAAAAGAAGTGTCCAAACTCACGGAAGTCCACAAATCTTAGCAATGTTTTCATAGGTCAGTTTCTCAAAAGGACTAGAAATAAAAGCAAAAATAAACAAATGGGACCTAATTAAACTTACAAGTTTTCACATAGCAAAGGAGACCATCAACATAACAAAAAGACAACCTACAGACTGTGACAAAATATTCGCAAATGATGCAACCAACAAGGGCTTAATTTCCAAAATATACAAAGAGCTCATAAAACTTACTAATAAAAAAACAAACTCATGTAAATCAGCAAATTAATAATCAAATATTTGAAAAGGAAAAGAATACTTGCATGCAATAAAATTTACCCTCCCATAAATTCCTTACTACTCACAAGGGGGAAAAGTGTAACTTACAATGGAGACAACTGGAGGACGCTCCCTTAATCGACCAAGGGGTCAAAGTGAACATCTTCACTAACGGGACAAATGCGATTCATGGACCACTTGTTATGGCGAATATGAAGAACAGAGCATAATTTCAGCGACAGTCCCCCCTTACAGAGCATAGCCTGGGTCTACAAACTCAAACTGAGAGATACACTACAAAAGTACTTACTCCTCCTCTTCAAAACCACGAAGGTGGTAAAAACCCATGAAAGATGAGAAACTGCTCCAGACTGAAGGGACCTAGAGAAACAAACGCCCTGCGAAGCTCTGAGCCTGATCCTTTTGTTATTAAGGATGTTATTAGAACAACTGGAAAAAACACGAATGGACCAGAGGGCTAGATGGTAGTGCATCAACATTCAGTTCCAATTTTGATGGGTTGTCATTTTATTCATCTAAGAGGATGTCCAAGTTTGTAGAAGCTTCACAATAAAATATTCAGGGTAGTGGTTCGGGGGAACCACTGTATGATGCTTGCAACTTTTCTGTAAGTTTACTTCAAAACTTAAAAATCAATTTATAAAAATATCCATAGCATTCACCATATATAAGAAACTACTCCAAAATATTTAGTGTAAGAAATGTTCACATTTATAAAGGCAATTTTTTAAAAAGGATAAACACACCTAAGAATGAACTTAGAGAAATTAGGCAACATGTACATGAAGAAGTCTTTGAAACAATACTAAATAACACAAAGATCTTTCCTTTCATTAGGTAGATACACTCCTAAGTATTTTATTCTTTTTGTTGCAATGGTGAATGGTATTGTTTCCTTAATGTCTCTTTCTGTTTTCTCATTGTTAGTGTATAGGAATGCAAGGGATTTCTGTGTGTTAATTTTATATCCTGCAACTTTACTATATTCATTGATGAGCTCTAGTAATTTTCTGGTAGAGTCTTTAGGGTTTTCTATGTAGAGGATCATGTTGTCTGCA